ATGTATAAGTCTAGCCATTTTAGTCCAAAAATCAGCCCCAAATACTTGGGTCAACTTATCCATGGGGCACTGTAAATACTATACTTAAACACTGATCAAAAAGGAACCATAGAATCATAGCGTTGGAAGAGACCACAAGGGCCATCCAGTCCAACTCCCTGCCATGCAGGAACTCCCAATTAAAGCATCCCTGACAGATGGCTATCCAGCCTCTGCTTAAAGACCTCCAAGGAAGGAGACTCCACCAATCTCCGAGGGAGTGTGTTCCACTGTCGAACTGCCCTTACTGTCAGGAACCATCCCATTCTCTAAGTGGAATGGTGAAAGGCAAGAGCTTAGTCCATTTTGAAGTAGCTAAAATAAGCAGTGGCCTGCTCTACTCCCTCTGCCATGGTGTCATTTCAGACTTTTTGGAACACCTGGGTGGGGAAATGGTAGTGGTGGCAACTCTTTGGTGCTTTCCTTCAAAGGAGCTTCAAGAATGGGCCTTTGAAGGATATGAATAAGGTATTTGTGTATGTTTGTCTCCATCAAGTCCCATGCTTCTGCTACATATCATTTATTTGCAGAACACCAATCCTAAGGAAACCGCTAATCAGACAGTATTGTGTTTTTTAGGAAGCTATGGATCTACAGACGCATCACACTCTAATATGGAGTATTAGGAATATTGTTGTGTGCCTTAAGTTTATTCATCTTATGGCAAATCTATAACAGGTAACAGGGTTTACTTGGCAAGATTTGTTTGGGAGGGGGTACCTTTGTCTCCCTTGGTGGCTGAGAGTGTGTCTTGCCTAAGATCATCCAGTGGGCTTCCATGGCTGAGCAGGGATTCAGATCCTGGTATCTAGAGTCAGTCCAACATCTAAAGCACTGCATTATGCTGCCTCTCTACTATTAGGAATTGCTTTGTTGATAATAACTTGATCATACTGCTGTATCTCTTTGTCCAAAGTTTGAATTTCTCCTCAGCATTCCTGGTCAAAATCCAAAGGAGCAGAAGTCTTTAACTTCCAAAGCAAAGCAAAAGCAGCTTCATTTATATATCGCTTCATACCACGCTATGGGGTATCTAAGCAGTTTACAACTGTAAGCTCATTGCTCCCCAACAGTTGGGTACTCATTTTAGCAACCTCGGAAGGATGCAGGCCTAAGTCGAGCCTCAGCCCGGGCTGGTATTGAACTCGCAACCTTGTGGTCTATGAATGAGTGGCTGCAGTACAGGCATTTAACCACTGAGCCACCAGGGCTGATTCCCTTTTTCCTTCCATAAATGTCATTAAGATAGTGGACTCACCATTGTTGAAACAGTAAAGTTCAATACTCTCACCTCCACTACTGATCTTGATTAGGACTGCATTTGCAGCTACCAACACATCTCTCATTATGGTTCTGAGCATCCAAGAGACTACCCATCCCTTTTTAAAATGCAGCCAGGGATGTTCCTAGATAGAATCATATATTTCACTTGTGCACTAGTTATCCAATAATCCACAAAGGCAGCTTTCTTCTGTACTTGACCCACAATTTCTGTTGATAGAAATGTTGGATCGACCATTGTTTCTAATTTAGAGGGAAAGAAAAAGCTGGGACAAGCAGCTTTTAACCTCTTAACCAATGCCTTAGGGTTCTAATGAAGTATCACAATATGAGGCACGAATGTGAACATTTCACTTCTGACTCAGCCTAGGATATTGGTGGAAGGAGAGGGATGACCTCCTAACCACCATCATCCAAGATCCTGGCTCCCATGCCAGTATAAGAACAGGTGTTCTTCAATTATCCACACCCTTATTCTCTGAAACTAATGGTCTAAATCTGTCACCTGTTTCCTCTTCAGGTGACCACCTTAATTCCTATCTCCTACCCACATATGATGATAGCATATGTGATTACACTGTTATCAGCTGAGCATAATATTGCTTGTGCTATTTATTTGCAAAGAAAAACCTTCCCTTCCTGTTGCGGTGAAACTATGAATGTCACCTCCTTTTTAGAGTAGAACAATTAGTATCAGAAACCATTTGGGGCTTTGAATATCATCACCAACATCCTGAATTTTGACTTGAGGAATGCTGGAAATATTCCACACCAGTCTAGCATGTCTCTGGTCCAAAACACACTGTAGAAATAATCCAGTTTGAGACCGCTTTAACTGCCCTGACTCAATGCTATGGGATTCCAGGAACTGTAGTTTTGTGAGACATTTAGCATTCTCTGTCAGAGAGCTCTGGTGCTACAACAACCTTCAGTTCCCAGGATTGCCAGGGCAGTTAAAGCGGTCTCAAACTGGATTATTTCTGCAGTGTGTTTTGGACTTTTGATAGTTATGCCATATTTTTTGCAGCTCAAGGAAACAGCAACACAACACTGGAATACACAGGCATACCACAAAGCTACCCTTACTGCTATGAAGGCTTTCAAGGGGCAGAAAAATCAACAAAAATAGAACACTATTTAATCCTTAGCTAGCAGAGTCACTCAGTCTGAATATTTTTAAAATGTTATAAGGAAAGGTGAGCCAGTGTGGTGTAGTGGCTGCAGAACTCTGGAAGGCCAGGGTTCTAGTCCCTGCTCATCCACTGAATCCTACAGGGTGCTGTTGGGCAACTCTTTCAACCTAAGAGGAAGCCAATGGCAAATTGTCTCTGAATAAAACTTATCAAGAAAGCTCTATGATAGATCAGAGTAAGCTTCAAGGCACATAACATTAACAAATAGAGTAATTCTGTTATTCTGGTTATGTTATTCTGGTTCCAACATCCGAGATAAGGAAAACCCACTTATTTTCCATACACAAGGCATGCTGTTATCAACATCTATTTTATACAAAATGTTTTCAATAATTGAAGACTGTCATTACTGTCATAAGCACACTTACTCAGAAGTTTATTCCACTCAATTTAATCAAAGTATTATTTATTTATTTGATTTTTATGTACCCACCCTATATAACAAACACCCCATATAAAAGCCATCCCATGATCACACTTTACACATAAGTATGCTTAGAAACTGCAGCCAAAATAGCTTACAGAATAATTTAAATTATTTGATCCATGATTGTTGTTGTGCGCCTTCAAGTTTTTTTCAAGTTATAGCGACCCTAATGTGAATCTATCGTGATTTTTCTTGGAAAGTTTCTTCAGAGGTGGTTTGCTGTTGCCATCCTCAGAGGCTGAGAGAATATGACTTGCCCAAGGTCACCCAATGGGTTTACATGGGTGAGCCAGAATTCAAACCCCGGTCTCCAGAGTCGTAGTCCAATGCTCAAACCACTTTACCACACTGGCTCCATGGCTAGTTGGATCCATGGTTACTTGGGAGAAAAACCTCATCAAGGTAAGTGGGGCTCAGTAAAAATAAATATGAGCAGGACTAGAGAGCATAACTGTATGTTATGAACCTAAAGCACTGTCTTTCCAAGCTACAGGAAATCAGTCAATTAAGGTTTGGGGAAACAAATAGAAATCTGATGTCACCAGTATGCTGATGCATTGTGCTACCCCAACAGCATTCTCAAGCAACATAATCCAAGCTCATTTTGGAATACTGCTGAAGAATTCTCTCTTCCTAACCAAGGCAACATATTGCTCTAAAAAGGATAACTCCTTGAAAAACAATACAAGAGGTTTTGGGAGGGAAGCTTCCACTCCTACATTTATAGCTCCTACTTTCACTTTATTCCACAGGGAGGAAACAAAAAAAGCACTCTGAATAACCACATACAAACAGAACAAATGGAGATAATGTGACAAAATTGACTAATTATACTCCAGTCCCTGATACACTGTTCTGCATTCTGAAAAAAGCCTGAGAGAAGAAGCTCTTCCATCCTCTGACACTCAGATAAGAAGTGGGAGTTTTTAATGCCTTTTCCCAGGGCTCTGTCATAGTATACCATCTGCTCAAACAGTAAACAACTTAACTATACTCGTGGAGTGGACTTACTCAGATGATTTTCTTCAGCAGAGATAAGACATGTTCTGGCATGTGCTAGACACATCTGAAGAGGAATACATGTCTAGGACTTTGTATGCTAAACCAGGAGCCTCTGAGACAAAATGGAAGAGTTGGAGTGTGCGGTTTTAATGGAAAACAAAAGTACAGTAGGCATAACAGAAACCTGGTGGGATAGACGGAACCAGTACGATGTGGTCATTTCAATATACAAAGAACTAAGCCTAATTGCTAATCCAACTAGAGTAAGCTAATTTACTTACAATAGGCCTTACAAGGATGGACTTATCAAGTTCTTATTGATTCAGTAGGTCTAATCTAGTTAAGACCAGCAAATGAATTTAGGCCAAACTCTATGGGAAGGGAAAGGCAATACTCCAAAAACCAAAACTTTGTTCATGGATGACTGAGATAGTGACACCTTTGCTTTCTGATGGTTCAATATAAACAAACTTTGTTTCATGCACAAAATTATTTTCAAAAAAAAGTATAAAATTATCTTCAGGCTATGTGTAGAAGGTATGAACATAAATGAATTTTGTGTTTAGACTCATCTCCCAAGATATCATTATGTACATATATGCAAATACAAGTATTCCAAAGTTTAAAAAAAATGAAAATCAAAAATACTCCTGGTCCCAAATGTCTCAGAGAAAGGACACTCAACCTGCAGTTGGAAAGGGAACTGAAAATTAAACTCTCTATACAAATCCAGATCACATCTGGAATACCTTGTATATTTCTGGTGTCTGCACTTAAAGAAAAGATATTGTAGAGCTAGGAAAAGTACAGAAAAGGACAACCAAAATGATCATAGGACAAGAGCATCTACTCTATGAGGAAAGATATATTTAAGGCTGTATAGTTTTTAAAAATTGCCAGAGGCATGGTTGTTGATGCGTGCCCTCAAGTCGTTTCCAACTTATGCCAACCCTAAGGTGAACCATGGGGTTTTCTTGGCAAGTTTCTTCAGAGGGTTTTTTCCATTGCCATCCGCTGAGAGAACGTTAACTTGCCCAAGGTCACACAGTGCATTTATGTGGCCAAGTGGGGATTTGAACCCTAGTCTTCCGAGTTGTAGTCCAACCCTCAAACCACTATACCATTCTGGCTGACAGGGGGCATGGTAGAGGTGCATTAAATTACATATGATATTGAAGCAACAGACAGTAAGCTTTTTTCTTTCTCCCATAATACTAAAAGCTAGCTAAATCAACACATGTAGAAATGTCTTTGTCACACAGTGCATAAAGTTCAGGATTCACTGTCACAGAGTATTCCCAGGACATTAAAGAAATACTGTACTCTGAAAGTCAACTACCATGAACTTTGAATCTAAAATTGTCTCATTCCCTCTTATTCTGTAATGAGTCAGCCACTCTTGGGAAGTAACTAACCCAAATGTGACCACACATGAACAAAAGGGACTATTCTGTATGGCGGGGGGGGGGGGGGGGGGGGGGAGAAACCCTGCAAACAGAGATGAGATAGCTTGCTAGATTGCATACAACAGGTTTGAGAAGCAGCAGGGGAGACCTGGGGCTGGAGTGGGAGAAAAGACCAGCAAGAAGGAAAGCAAGCCACTCTGGCTTTCCAGGTGTTTCAAGACTTCAAATTCCATAAACCACTTCACTGGCTACATCAGCTAAGGCTGCATCCGCACTGCAGAAATAATCCAATTTGGCACATCTTTAACTGCTATGGCTTTGTACTATGGAATTGTGGGCATTATAGTTTGTTCTGGCACCAGAGCTCTCTGACAGAGAAGGCTAAATGTCATAACTACAGTTCCCAGAATTCCATACCATTGAGCCAAGGAAGTTAAAGTGATCTCAAACTGGATTATTTCTGCAGTGCGGATGCAGCTTTAGCCTTCTCTGTCAGACAGGTCTGCAACCACACTGCAGAATTAATTCAGTTTGACACAACTTTAACAGCCAGGGCACAATCCTATGGAATCCTGGGATTTGTAGTTTCTTGTGTCACCAGAGCTGACAGAGTAGGATAAATGTCCCACAGAACCACTATTCCCAGAATCCCAAAGGAGGTGAGATATTTATCCTGCTCTGTCAGAGAGGGATGGTGCCAGAACAAACCACAAATCCCAGGACTCCATAGCACAGCAGTTAAAGCGATGTCGAACTGGATTATTTCTGCAATGCAGGTGCAGCCGGAGCCTCACAGGAACTGCAGAAGGGAAAACAAAACACAAAGCCTAGCAGCCTGTGAGAGGCCACAGTCGTCCGCCTTTCCCTGAGGGAGGAGCGAGAGGACAACATGGGGCCGACAAGAGGAGGAGGACATGAGGAGAGGCTTTGAAGGGGGCTCCGGAGGGAGCCAGAAGGCGGGTCACGGAGTGAGAGGCTTTCCTCGTAGCTTTACTGAGGGAGCCACTGACCTCTGGCTGGCGCTAAGGCCGTCTCCCGCCGGTTCTGGTCTCTCCTGGCTGGAAGGCTCCGCAGGAGGGGGAAGGCCGGCAAGAACGACTCTTTCTCTGTTTGAATTTCGTCACAGGAAAACAACGACGACGCTGATTGGGAGACGTCAAAAAAAGGCGCCGCGATCCTGATTGGTTAGCCGCTTGATTGGCAGCCGAGTAGGCCTCTCCTCGCGTCTCTTTCCGTCAAGTCACATGAGAAACGCTCTCGCCACTGAGAAAGTCTTCTAAGAGGGAGGGGGAGAGCGAGCGAGCGAGCGAGCGGCGCAGTTAGAAGAGGCGACAAACGTCCAAGGCGCGAGCGCCGTGACGCAAGAGGGAGGCTCCGCCAATCCTGTTTCTCTGTTCAGTTCATCCTGGGTGAGGGCGGGGCTCGCGCCCCTTGACGGTTAGCCGCGTGAGGAAACAAAACGAGAAGCGAGGCTCTTAAAAGGGCGGGAGAGGAGACGGGTTTATTTCTTTCACATAATGAGGGAGTGGGTTGAGAAGGACCTGCATTCTATCCCGCGCTTTTAAACTCCGGCCTCTGTGCTGCTCCCCTTCATGTTTTTTTTTTTAAAAAAAAACATGATTT